AGCACAGAGCACAGAGCTTCAGCACATGAAGGACGCCGCCCGGGTTCAAAATAGTTGGTGTACCTTCAAAGAAAGTTTTAAGTTTTAACACCTCCAGGTTTGTTGCATCGCATAGAAGTGGCGATTTCATCGCAATTAGAGGCTTTAGCACCGAAGCTGAGGGTTTGGGGTGTGGCTCCAATCTTGAACCAGGTCAGCCTCACCGGTTTCCGCCCATCTCAAAGTACCCGGTGACAGCAAGGACAGCTGTGCGCACAATAAACCCTAAACCCTAAACCCTAAACGTTTCTGGGTCCGATACAGGAGCAAGGAGTCTTTTTTCAGCTTTCTCAGGGTCAGTCTTGTGCCATGGCACTTTCAGATGTACAGGCGACCCGATCATGTCCCGAAACCTTGTTGCAGTCAGCTAGCGGAGTAGCGAAAATCATCGACCTCATGCCGAACTGTGGAAAATGCATGCTGCAATTGCATGCTTTTTTGGGCTTCATGGGCAGGGCCAAGCGTAGGGCGTAGGGGTTGCGAAAGCCACTTGCGCAATCTGATGTTCTGTCTTGCTGTGCAGCTTGGAGATGTGCTTGTGCGGAGCCTGGGGGCATCTCGGGACTCAAGGGAGTTTGTTTCCTAGTCCAATTGGAGACATCGGGGGCCATGATCTTTGCCTGGATTTGCCTGAACCTGAACGCGAAAATGCTCTGATACCTTGTGTTTTTTCGTCTCAGCTTGGCTTGGTTCGTGTTCATTAGGACAATTCAATGTGCTTGTTGTTGCTCTGTTGACTTACCGGTTTGCGATGTCTATCACCTCATCCGCCGAAGGATGCCGATGCACCCCTTCAGCAACTCATGAAGATAAACAAGGAATTGCAACAAGGCGCCCCGGAGCAGCTTCCGGACATGTGCAGTGGCATGTTCTGCCAGTGGCTAGACTTCAGTGAATTCCGGCCGATTAATTCTTCCGGACGGGAAGATTCTGATGCACAGAACGTGTGCGCATTACCTTAAGTTTTAGTACGGATAAGTATGATATGCCAGAACAGATGAGCTGATGCATACATAGCGACGTCTACAATGCTGGAAACCCTGGTGGCCCCCGGTTTCCACGATCATTCTGCCAGCCTCGCCGATGTCCAGGCATGAAGAAGCTCTTGGACGCTCACTCGGTAGATGTTCAGTCGACAATGGTGGACCCGTGCTCGCTTACCGGCATCTCGCGGGGGAGTGGGCAATTCATCGTAGGCTGCCCAGATTTGCGTGTAATCTCACTGAGCCGTGAACCCAGAAGCCTAAGAGGCAGGATGGCCAGGAATGAGCGATGCACTCCATGATTTCCCCTGCGCATGAATGCTGCTCAACATTCCGAGTGTTTTAAGCTGGTGTTGACCATGCTCGTCTGTCATGGTTGCTGAGATTTGCTGATGTTTCGTTTTGGTGTAGTATGTGGCACTATCCTTGCGCAGGCCAGTCGTCGAAATACGTTTGAGTTCGAGAAAGAGGCTGGGAACTGAACCAATGTAGATAGCAGAGGAGGTGGAGAAACCAGCGGTCGGTGTTTGAAGCACATTGCATTGGACAGTTTGGTTTCGGCATCCACACTCAGGAAAGTATTTCAGGTCTCGAGTCGGCGTTCGTTGCAGGATCTTTGCCTTGCTGGGGTTCGGTTGGTTATACCCTGTTCTTGCGATCATGCTGTGGTATTTCCATTATCACTCGCTTCTCGAGTTTCAGGATCTGAAGGGTCCTGTGTTCCGGCTGTCCGATGCCTCGCTGATACAGTCTTGTCGGAGCCTTTGCCTTGACAGGTAGACGATAACAGAGTAGGACTTTGGTGTTCGATCGAAACGAATCCCTATGGAAACCCAATACAATTCTTTCAAAAGGATGACCGCAGTGGGCTTGGCACGGCTTGGCATCGGTCCATTACGGTCACGGCCGGTATCTAGTCTTAGTTGAGGGGTCTGAGTAATTAGTATCAGTTTTCTTTGGAAGTCACTGGGAATTATGCGACGATATCCTGTAGAACCCTTCAAGCACCGCGAAATCTTGGTTCTAATTATGACGGCTACTATTGTGCAAGCCCTAGAAACCCTGTTCTATTTCTTCAGGCCCCAGTAGGAGGCGTACGGCCTCAAGTGTTGGCGCTGGCTTAGATATCTCGGCATTGCCCCCAGCGCACAGCCAAAAGAGGTATTGAAGAGTTTAGGGTTTACCTATAGTCTCCATTGTAGTTCCTTTTTGGGGATACCTTATAGAATCCTCAATATATAATTTGTTAAACCAAAAAAAGGAACTACAACGGAGACCATAGGTAGGAGCGTGGAATCCCTGGCCTGACAGGTGCTGAGACAGGAGTCGTCTGGCCTGGTAAAGCCAACGGTCAGCATGCGTAGCAGCCCAACCCTCAGAGTCCAGCTGGTCCACGTCCCAGACCCCCAAAAGGATCCCCAAAAAATAGATCCCCTAGTTAAGGACCCTAACTACTAAAGGGTACTTTATATGGGAACCCACTTAGGGGATCTATTTTTTAGATCCTTTTGGGGGTTTGGGGTGATGAAGATGTGCCAGTACGTGCCGGTCGTTTTTGCTGGTCGGACGGTAGTGTAGGGCTGAAGCAGACTGTCAGGGCCAACAGCTCCAAACCCCAAGTCCTAAACCCAACACCCAGTGTGAGAGTGTAAATCCAAAACCCAAAGCCCTAGTTCCTCAAAGTAAATTGCGAAGCTTGTATTCACTTTGACAACCCTGTCCCCCGCCATGGCCTGCGGACCTACTAATCAGGTCCATGGGGGCTTGCATTTGCATTTTTCGTGTTGCTCTCAAGTGGTATGTTCTTTGTATAGTTTTCTTCGCATGCAGTTCTTGGGCTCGTCGCTATTCCTTTGTTTCCAACACCGTCTGCGCAGACCTGGAAATGCTTTCGGTGTTTGGAGTTTAGAGCGTGATGGAGTTCTCTTAGAGCTTAATGACCGTGGTGAAACAAAGAGCAGATGGGACAAAGGGCATCACGCGAAACAGTCACCTGTTATCCTGCCTGTTTCCTGTCAGCTGTACATCCTACAAGACACAGAACGTCCAGACGGATCAGACATCTGCTAGCCTCGTATTTTGCGATCATCTTGAAGCCTGAGGCACAGTAAACCTCTGGAGCCCAAATCATCTCTGAGAAGCTCCTCTCCAAAGGTGGTGCTGAGATAGAAAAAGATCCCCCAGCCCCACCAGAAGGCCTGCTGCGAAGACTTCGAGGGCGAGAGCTCAAGAGCATCCCATAAGGGTCCAAGGGGTTGTGGCCCGCATTCTTGAATTTCCAACTCCAATTTCGGGGCTTGGAAGGGCCCGATGTCGTCTGCCTGTTGTGTTCTTGATCCTTGATTTCATGCTTGCGTCTATCCTGTGCTCAGGCTCTCTTGTGCCTGCTGTTGAGTCTTGCCCAGGGAGCACTTGCAAAGAGCGTGATGGACAGAGTCACTCCTTGCGGGAGACCAGTCCTTTATTGCCTCGTCCTGCCTACCAGTAGAGCAGTTGTAAGTGCAGGTGCATCCGTGCAGAGGTTCAGAAGATGTTGCAGTTTCGGCGAGGGAAAGGTACCAATGGCCCCTGAAGGTGTCTCCGAAAATGGGTCTTCGTCTACGACAAGAAGAACATGGGACATACGACCACTTTGACACTCGCAGAAGTCTGTGGGTTCGGTCGTACGCCATAGACGCTAGTTCTTCTTTCCTGTCCATGCCGTGTGCGGCATGAGGGACTCAAAGTATCTCGCAAGCTGCCACAGGCAATCCATGTAATTAAGACCTCGAAACGAGGTTGCGAGCATTTTGCGGTACCCATCTACCGCACTCAGACATAACGGTACTTCACCAACTCCGGAAAGTCTTACCAGGCTGTGCAGCTGTACAGCCAGCTTTGAGTGCGGCAGAAGGCAGACGACGCGAGGTCCCGAGATGTCGGTCGGGTGCATAACGGACTCCTCGTGATTCACATGTCAGGAATGTCAGTTAAGGGTGGAGGTGCGAAGACATGCATTGCATCCACTGCTTCCTGCATCCGCCCCATCTTCAATCACCTATGAAGGCACGCTTTGCAAAGCAAAGCGGGAATACCTATTCTGGCCTACATAGCTCCTTGCCCGTTAGAGTTTTGTGTTTTCCAAGACGCGTTGTACCAATGCAGTGCAGAGCACTGCGTCTCACCGCCAGCTTTTAAATCTACGGTCCTTGGGAATGTGCTGCGCCAACCAATTTCGTTTCGGGCATAGTCGTATACTGATATGCTGCATCCATCGGGTTCATTTGTATCTACTCAACCCAATAACCCAGTTGAAGACGGCCCACTTGCGCTCGGTGGTGGAGTACATCTCAACGCCGGTGAGCAGTATCAACTCCTCGTTCGTTCCGTGTTCGAGCCGGCTTCCGTTGGCGTGCAACGAGAAAGCTGGAAACCCTGGACCCGGAATCCGAAAGGCAGAAACCCTAAACCCCCAATGGCAGTGCTATTGCTATAGGGCCCTGCTGTGCAGACACCCTTACTGGAAGCCCTAAGCTTCCTAAACGAAGTGGCAGCCATGACTTTTTTTCGTCTCCTGGCCGAAATGACCGGTGGACTGACCCGACAGTGCAAAACATGGGTGAGCTGCATCCCTGAAAGATCCTGAACCCTAAACCCTAGACCCTAAACCCTAAACCCTAAACCCTAGTCGGAAGCCTTCTTCTTGCAGTATCCCTGCTACAAGATCCGTTGCCCCAGCGTAGCAGATGTTGGTTTGCTGTGCCAGGCTTGCTTGCCTCAAAGTCTTTGAGCGGCTGGGAGTGTGTATAGTTTTTGGGGTCATCCTTCTGGGCCCAGTTTTGGAAGGTTGTTGTTGCCCCACCCCCCGAATCGAAGCCCCAAACGTGAGCCCCGAAATCTCTGCCGCACCCCCTAAACCCTAAACCCCTACGCCCCTAAACCCCTAAACCCCTAAACCTGTAGAGAGGGCAGAAGCCTGAAGCTTCAGACTGCGCGTAGGGCCCGCGCCCAAGCCGTCGAGCCCTGGGCTGCGGCAGTTGGAGGTTTGGGTTTCGGGGTATAACCGCTAGGATTTAGGGGTTTAGGGTTTAGGGTTTCGGGGTTTAGGGTTTAGGGGTTTAGGGTTATGGGGTTTAGGGGTTTAGGGCTTTGGGATTTAAGATTGTTGATAGCTGGGTTTGGGGTTTAGTGTGGGTATCCTGCTGTTGAGGAGTGTTCGCTGGCGCACAATCCAAGCCCATGATGAACCAGAGTATTTCGGGGTGCTGAATTTAGGGTGTGGGTGTTTGCTTTCAAGGTTTGGTTTTGGGGTGGGTACCAAACCCTAAACCCCAAAACCTCGGACACTTATCGCCATGCCTGCTTTGCGAGTGTGTGAGTCGAAACCCCAAAACATCCCTAAACCCTGGGTATCCTTAGAGTCTTATTACAGTAGTCTCAGGGAGATGTTTGGAGTATAGGGCGGGGGGTTGGGGTTTCCGGATGCATACGGGTATAATGCGTAGTGAGGGATTTGAGGTTGCAGGATTCGAATGAGCGAAATGCCGACGACGCCGGCGACCGAGAAGACGACGACCATTACGCCCATTACGCTTGTTGCTATATGTTGCTATGTAACTTTCCGCCGACACTGCTGCTACTGCCACTTTTGCCCCTACCCACTCCTGTTTTAGAAGACACTTTACTGGCACTGGCTCAGCCTTTGCACGATTGATGTTAAGGTTCCTACTGCAGCTGCTTCCATGCTCCTATGGTTGTTGTTGCTGCTGCTGCGACCACGACTACCACGACCACACCGTGACGACGACTCCCACTGCCACCACTACAAGAACTTGCGCTGCCGCCACCAGCAAGACCCGCACGACCAAGTACCACTACCATGACCACGAGACAGACCACGACCACTAGCCACTAGCCTTACCGCTACCACTACCACTGCCACTGCGACAACGTCGATGACCACGATAGTCACCGTTAGTATTGCTACAGATGCTACAGCTATCGCTGCTACTGCCAGTTGCTGGTCCTGCTCCTGCCGCTGGCAGCGAAAGTGGCAGTGGTAAGTAGTGATCGGCAGAAGCTGCTAATGCGGCTATGTGATGCCCAGTTTGCTTCTTGCCATACATATGGCAGAATGTCATGCTGCACCAGGTCTCGCCCATCCAGCAATCCTCGGAATCAGCGGGACAAGAGGCACTGGCTTCATGTGTGTGATCGGGGCATGCAGCGTTTGACGGTTAGTTACCTTGACAGCAACTCGTCGAATGAAACCGATTGGACGTGTAAGTTAATGTGATTCGACTGACCATGTTGCTGCAGACATTGCCAGGCTTTGTCCGAGTGTGAGTGTCAAAAATCCCTTCAACAGCAATGCAGGATGCCCTAAACCCTATCAAAGTGAGCCTACTTTGTTGCGTCTGTTAGCGATTCTTGAAGACAGTATCGTGGTGGACCTTGCCAGGCTTGTCCGAGTGTGAGTGTCAAAAAAACCCTAAGCCCTAAACTCTCTAACACCCTAAGCCCTAAACCCTAAACCGCTTAAATCTTTAACCCTAAACCCTTCTTAAGCACCACAGACCTTGCGAGTCTCACTCGGCGAGGCGGCACCGCGCCGCCGCGATGCCCAGCCTCGGGCCCAGGAGCTCCCAGGAGATTTCTTTAAGACGCACAGACAGGCAGAGAGAGAGAGAGGGGAAGATACGTGTGTGTATACATATATATATATATATATGTGTGTGTGTATACACATGCAATCTCAGCACTATAGTGTATGTATGTATGTATGTATGTATGTATGTATGTATGTATGTCTGACTGGTTGCTGCAGACCTGGCAGCTTTCAGTAGGCCAACTGGAACATGATGCCTGCGATGCGGTGTCGTTGGCTGACGTTGCCATGTGGGAGCCAAAAATGTATGTATGTATGTATGTATGTATGTATGTATGTATGTAAGTGTGCATGTGTATAGAGGACAGAACCCGTGACTGTGTATATACACACATTCACATATACTCACGTTTTCTTATATATGTAAACAGATGCACGCGCACACACACACACATATATATACATATATATATATATATACATATATATACACACACATATATATATATATGCATATATATACATACATACACATGCAGACATTCATGCATACACACATATATATATATATGTATATATTCAACTAGATATACACATGTTTATCCAGTTTATTTAGAAAAGACTTACTATCATATAGATACACGCACGTATACATGTATCTGTATATGTATATACAGATATACAAAATATACATGCATAAGTATATTGAGATATTTCCTGTATTACAGATTATGTGCTGCTCATGTTGTATCATATTCCCAATGCAAAAAACTTTTTAATACACAGCATTTGATCCATGATCCACGATATATACTTTAAGGTGTGCGTTCGGGTGGTTTCGGTCTTCTGAAGCCTGAAGGGCCTGCCTTCAGAAGATGAGGTCTGCCGACAGTTTAGGGTTTAGAGTTAAAGCTTAGTTCACCCCAGAGCCATCCTCATTCCTCATTGTGATTTAGGGCGCGTGATCAACCCTTGCCGCTGGGTTCTTGATTTGCTTCGTGGCTTTTTTGCGTGTTTGACCACAGCTTCACAGCAAAACCTCCAAGCCCCGAAACCCCAAAGCCCCTACAGTAACCCCTGAACCCCAAAGCCCAAAATCTATAAACTCCCGTAAGCCTAAAGCCTGACCAAGCACAAAGCCATGAATCCGCACTGAACTTCTCTCGTTATTTGTCCTGTTGAAGTGGTTCAGGGCTCAAGTTCAGGGGTGTAGGGGGAGGCAAGACGACGAATATTCTTGCAGTAAATCCTCATCTTCATCCCTGTCCTGAATCCTTGAAGTTGCTGTGATGCTTCGCGTAGCTCGTCTGGCTCCTTGGAATTTACGTCAGCAGATGTGCGATTTCAGAACTTCATCTGGGTGTATACTAATTGTTGGCCCCCAAACCCTATTGGTGGGCTTTTCCGCACCTTTACCTGCCTTGAGGCCGCATTGGTCCTGGGAGGAGCGACTTTGCGGGCAGTGCCAAGGTGACGAGGTCAAGAGTATCCCCGTATAACCAAATGAACATACAGATAGATAAACAAATGTCTGTATCTATGTCTGTATGTATGTATTTATGTA